CACAGGGACTGCAGCCCACGCCGTCGCCGGCGACTTACGGCAGCCCAGCTCCAGGTTGAGCTGTTGTTCAGCATCTTAGCTGTAGAGGGCAGTGTCACTGGCCCTCATATGTGGGATCCGAACCGGGGCCCTCTGGCATCCCAAGCGAGTTCTTAACCATCGCGCCACTCGGCCGGCCCCATGAATGTTTTTTATAGTTTTGTATATGTCCACAATTTTCTATAATGAACTTTCATAATAAAAATTTAACAGTGATTCTTTTTGGTTGTTCTGTAAGTTTCAAATGTGTAACTAGTGATCACTATGTGCATGTGCTCAGCATTGAACTATTCAAATTTACAAAGCCTTTATTTACATCTTATTCCACTAAGAGAAAGCTACCTAAGACTAAGATCCTAGCTCTAACCATAAAATTATTCACAAAGGAGACTTTTTCCATATCTTACAGAAAAATGTTGAAAAGAATCCCCATGAAATGGGGTTTAACTCGATAATTAGGCTTGCTGCCCAATTTTTAATAAAAAAAAAGGTAAAGCCAAGAATGTTTATCTGCAAGACTTTTCATTAAGAACACACAGACAAAGGACTTTCAATGGTATTTTGGCAAAATTAGGAAAAGCATGTGCACCATTTACACATTCTTCTGCAGCCCTTTCTCTTAGGTAGACCTAACCATTACCTCTCAGGATGAGAATCCAGCCAATGAGTGCTCTGGAATAGCATCCTACAGTCAGGCTGATGAAAGTCATTCCAAATCCATGTCCTGCATTCATTTTCAGGAAAAAGTCCCCTAGCATCACATGTATTCCTCACTGACTCCCTCACAGAATCCCCATACAGCCACCCTGACCTCGGCTACTCCTTGGAGCCCAACAGGCCATTAAGGTCCCAAGTTAAAGCAGATGACACAACCCCCCCCCTACTCTACTCACTACAATTCCCAACTCTCCTCCCAGTGACCTCAATTGTCTTGGAATCATTGTACATCCCTCCTACCCCCGCTACAGTCTTGAAAATAAAAACATTTCAGGTCATTTCTAAGGTGAACTCTTCCATTTGGGCTGCTGAGTTCATCTCATCCATCTCCTGTCATCCCACCCTCTCTTGTATTTTCAATTTCTCCCTTTCCTGTGGGCTGCTTCTAAGGAGCTAAAATCTCTCTTCTTGGAACAGAAAAACTAAAGAAGACAAAAAAAACAAAGAAACCTTTACTTTATTCTTTGAAATATTACGTCTCTTCTCCTTTCTTTCCCCGCTAAATTTATTGAAAAGTTTCACCTACTGTCTCAACGTTTGTAAGCCACAGTTCCACTCGTGTCAGGCTACTGGAATTTGTGTTCTGATTACTCCAAAATCTATATTTCTAGTGTGGATAGTTCTCCAAAGCCTGATCTTAACTTGTCCCAACAAGTCCCCAAACCAAATTCCTCCTGCTTCTGTAGCCTATCTCACTTTACGGAACGTGGTTCTCCTACCTGCAACTCACAGCTCTTCTGCACCTCTAATTCTATATTGGGATAGGAAAACCGTGGGTGGTACCAAAGGCACAGTAGTTCCTGGGGTTTTTCTGGTTACTGGTGATTGAAAACAGGACTCTAAGATCACATAACTGAGTAACTGCTTTATACAATAGCTCATTTCCTATTCTGCCAACATGGTGTACAAAAGTGAGGCATTGTCCTCCCACACACTTTCACAATTGTTCAATGTCAAAGTACTGATGTACTCCTGAAAGATGAAGAGAATAACACATCAGGTAGTTCACATTAACCCCCTTCACCTCGTAATTTAGTTATAGGACCTACCAATATCATTATAATTTTTGTTTTCAATTTGCTAAATGACCTCCTTTTTTGATGATGGTGGAGGTTGTGGCAGAGAAATTCTAAGAGAAAATCCACAACTACATCAGAAAAATCCTGTCCCTAAAACAAACAAAAAAAAACAGTCTTAAACACTATATAAATGTGTGTGTGTGTGTGTGTGTGTGTGTGTGTACAGAGGGTGCCAAAAATGTATACACATTTTTAAGAAAGGAAAAAACTATTAAAATTGTAATACTCAATATATACTGATAATAAAACATGAAGACAAGTCACATTTACTTCTGCAATTATAAGAGGTGCTCAAAGTGGTTACCATCAGTGTCCAGACACTTCCGATTACAGCAAACTACTGCTTGAGCAACGCTGACCAAAGTGTCCACTTATAGACATTTTTTTTCATCTTTTGGCACCCCAGTATGTATCATATTGACATTTCAATTTAAAAAATATTTAAGCTTTTTTGCTTATTAAAATTTCTTTCATAATTCCAGACAAACCCTACTTGGTCATAAAATCCTAAAAGATAGTCCTAGGAAAATGTGAATTCTTAGGAAACTGGCTGTGTTCATGTAATTTATTTTCCACTGAACCTAGACCATTGACATATCAACCTAAATCACAAGTGACTAATCTGATCACTACAAACATTCAATCTTAGGGATCATAAGTAATAGTGCCTGACTCTTCTGATTAATGAAGGTTGCAAATGTAGCCCAGCGCCCAATAAATGAACAGGCACAAAATTGTCATCATCCTAAGGCCCTTATCAAGGACATTATTTAAACAATGTCCACAGTTTTCTTATCAAGTAACAAGAAAGAAGCAAAATAAAGGTAAATCAAGTATCTACCACTGACAAGCTTTCTACTTGCTATGAAATGTGTTTTATAATGACTAAACCCAAAGCAGAATATCAGTATTCAGCTATTCAGATCTGATTTTTGGATTGTTGTTTGAATTGGTGGATGATGTGATGTGAAGAAAAAAAAGTGACACATAAAACTCCAAAATAAAAGAACTCCCTAAACTTTGCCCACATACATGATTTAGCTGTTTGCTTCTCCCTGAAAAGAAATGAATGGAAGCATATGGTCCTCTCAAACACCATCTTGAGGAGGGGTAAGAAGGCAGAACACTGCAGGAGAAAAGATTTAAAAAGCAAGGTAGTCCAGGGCAGAAACATTATCTGCTGTAAGTATTGCTAATTCTACTCACCCTGATCTCTGCTGAAAAGAATACAGAATAAAATACATTAGACCTCCTACTGCCATTCCAAGCCTTGTGAAAAGTAGGGTAGGAGTGTGGAGGGGGGGATGAAAAAGCAGGCAGTAACTAGGAAAAATAACGCTTGGCTTGAAAAAACTGGGGCTGAACAGGAACCTCCCCCTCTACCTTCACTGCCCCTTTCTGCAAGACGACCTTGACCTTATGACCATCTCTAAGAAAGGGGATAGGAAAACACAAGGAAAAAAGGAGAAAGAATAGAACAAGCACTAAGAAATGTATTATTCTCCTCACTTCACTCCCCATCACCCCAACCCTTTCTGGCAGTGCTTACCCTCAGGTACCTCTGTCCCCTTGCCCTCAGCATCAGAGGAAGCTAATTCTGAAATCACTTCACTTTCCCATGTATATAAAGTGCTCCAATGTTGCAAAACTTGAATATCAAATATGTGGAAAAGTATTATTTTATACTCTTTTCCAATGTAAACAATCCTAAGCACACTTGATTTCGTGAACATGTGACATTCATGTTATAGTCACCTCATGGGTTAAACAGGCTTCTGTGAGTTAGTCTAAGAACCAATAATAACCATTTATAACATTGGAGCCATCAAGCCCTCCAAGTTTCAGCACTGGCTCCAAAGGAATAGTCCTGGTTTTGCGTAACTCAGTTTTATGACCTTGAACTCAATATTTTCTCCCTGGGCCTCAGTTTCCTCATTTTTGCAATGAAGATTTCGAATAGTTCTAATAAATTTACTACCGCTTCCTTCTCAAATGTGTTATACTCATGTTCTGTATGATTATTTAACTGTAACACCTTGCTTCCAGACTAGGTAACTTTCTCTTGGGTAAGAAACACGTTTTATACATTCCTTGTATTTGGGAGAAGTTCAGTAAACCTGTAAACTGATATAAGAGATGTTAGGGAACATACAAAAGACATTAAAATGCGGAAGGATTTGTTCATGGTCATATTGTAAACTGGATCAGAAATCAGAACTAGACTCCTTACTTGAACTCTACTATTTTCCAGAGCTGAACACCTCTCCTCCTCCCTTGCTCTCCACACCCTTCCAGGCCTTTGTATATGCATCTCAAACATCCACCTATATTAAAGGTTGGGGCTGCGTGTAAAACAACTTCAAATCCCTCACATTAGGTATAACACTTAAATGCTTGCGTGAGAGCATTCTCCAGAACACTCCCTTCTAATAAAACCAGTTAGGGGATGCACCCTCTGAATAAATTTGAATAAGCAAGCCCATCCTAAGCTTCGCTCCATCCTTCCACTGGAGGAGTAAACCAAAGGATAGGCTACATGAAGGTATCTCCCAGATTTATGCTTATACATTTTGGCAGAGCCTAAAGGGCGAAGGCAAAGAGTTCATAAAGGAGAGAGAGGAAAAAAAATTGTCTGGTTTCCCAGAGCTTCACTGTGGGGGGGTAGGGGAGAGTGGGAAGAGAGTTGTGAGACAGGTTTAAAAGGGAAAGGGAGATTCTAGCTTTACAAGTGCCACCTTTCGAAAGATCCATGGAGCCATCCAAAACCCATTCTATAGCGCATCGGAAATGGAAGGGGTTAAACTTTTGTGGGTGGATGGAAACAGGGGAGTAGCTAAAAATCAAAGATGGGGTTTTGGGATTCGCAGGGGAAACACTAGGGGCGGGAGTTGGATTGGAGGAATAGCTAAGGTCAGAAGATGAATGGGGGAAAGGGGAAAGAGTAAAATGCCGGCCGAAAGGAAAATCGGGAGGGCAGGGGTGAAAAGAAGGAGGCGGAGGGGGAGGGAGCCCGGGAACGAAAGCTGGTCTGAGAGAAAGGTGGGGGAGGGGGAGAATGGGAGTGCAGACCCAGGGCAGAGCGCCAGGCTCGGGGGCGAGTCGGGGGGCCCCGGCTGGAGGCAGGGGTGTGGGCAATCCCCCCCTGCCCCCAGCGGTGACTTGTACCTGTTGGTGTGAAAGCGGTGGAGCGGGTCGGTGCGATGGCAGGAGGACAGCTGGCAGCCAAAGTCGCTGATGTCCAGGCAGCCCGGCTCCTCACTCGGGCAGGTGCCCACCCCGCGAGGGGGTCCCAGAAGCGGAAAGGGTTCCTCGGGGGTCAGAAACTTCTCGTATGAAGTGGTGGCCGACGCCTCGTCTGACATGGCTGGAGATGACAGGGCTCGGACTCCCTCGCTGGCCCCGGACTGCTCCCGCGCCCGCCCCTGCCCCCACTCTAACCTGTCCGCTGTCACCGCCGCGCCGGGGTGTGCCCGCGCAGCTCACTAGCAGGCTGAGCGCCGCGGCCCGTCGCTGCCCCGGGAGTGTCGCGCCGCGCCGCGCCGCGCCGCGCGAG